CGGGCACAACCATCCCGGGCACGACTATCCCAAGAACCACAGTTCCAAATACCACGATTCCAGGCACCATAGGGCTATCATCTTTCTCGTCAACTGGCGAGAGGTCCATTACTAAGTCAGCCTCTTCGGGCATAACAACTCAGCACTCATCATCTACCAATAGTTTGTCAACATTAACCACATCCCTAGTTCTCTCTACTGGCTCTATCTTAACAGGTACTATTCTCTTTTCACAATTCAACCATAGTCAAGCCATCTTTGAGTTTTGTCTCGCTCTCTTATTGCAAATTCCTCCTTTTGGCCCCCTTTCTCCAATATATTTGCAATCTATCATATACTATCTGCACTTTTGAAACTAACTTTAATGTAATCTGATAGGATCAAAGGCTTCTACTAGTGCTTCATCCCAAACAATACTCTCCTATCACACAATAATTACTACACATACCTGTATATCAACATTCTACGAAAAGTCATGTACATGCTATAAATCTACCTCCTCAGAGGTTATCGAGACAATCACAGTATCCACTCCTTGCTCCACTACAGCCAGTGTGCATCAAGGCTTGCCAGAAGCCACGCAGGGCTGGAACAAAACCACACCAACAGCGGTGGTAACATCCGCAGGGATAGGTAATCGCTCATTCAGTGGATATACTATGATGGGCGGCTTCTTAGCTCTAGTACTGCTGTTAGCGTGGCGTATAACCTAATAAGCTGCCTGTCATAGCAAGTTGGTCATTCTAGACGGCTACCTGCCCTTAGGGCAAGCTATAAACGTGTCACGTGTCATACCAAGGCCAGCAACCGGAGGAGTTGAAAGCGACACAACCACCATCTTTTGGGCAGTTAGCACTAAGGTGATGATAGTGTTGTTGCCCCTGTTCATTGTCCTGGGACATTGTAGCTTAAAAGGTCTTAGAATAGAAATTCGTTGCTGAATCCCATTCGAGAGAGAAACAGCTGTGCCAACGATCTGTATTCTAACTCCAGAGAGCACGTATGTATGCCTCCAGTCAAGAAACACTCGAACAGGTTCGAAATATTGACACCTAATAGCAGCCGACCTATGATAAAGCTAGGGTAGTTTCTTTTAACTGAAATTTTAGCTGATAAGCTAGTTTCTGACCACTATAATATAGTATATACTTTATTTTAATATACAATTCTTTTTACTAAAACTCTACTATCTATACTTTATCCATTCCTTAAAGTAGCAAAACAATCTTATTATTATCTTTTTTTCTTCTTATATAATCTACCATACCCTTTCCCTTTATACCTTAGATAGACCAGTATACCTTACCATCGATTGCTATTAGATGATTTATTATATATTAGCCTTTATAGATACTATTCTCAGCATAAATTAGATTAGGATGTATCCATTTACGCCTTCAGTCTATAAAGGTTTGGCTAGTATCATAGTTCGAATATAGCTTCTTCGTCAGACTACTTCTTAAGGATATATTCGCGTTTATATTATCTACTTATATTTTACTATATCTTTTAGGTATAAATTATTAGAAGCAAAGTTATAGCTATAGGTTATATGTAGTTCTTTTTGAAACATTTTAATATCTTAGCTTAAACTTTAAGGATAAATCTTTTCAAACGCTCTCTCACTATAGTATAGTTGCCTTAGCCCTAGAGTTATA